TTTCCTTTTCTAGTTCATCAAATTCAAAATTAACTGCAAGAGTGCTAATTAGCCTCCACTGTTTGCAACACAATAATTAAAAGAGTTATAATTAAACAACTCCAAAGCAAATAAATCTGATGTATGACTAATGGTCTCTTAAATAATAAAAAAAACCCTGTGTTTTCAAATGCGCACCACCAAGACTACAAAACTTTGCTAAATTGTATTCATATTTAATCACAGTGTGCCATTCTATGATACACATAAACTAGCATATGCATTCCAAGAATGGAAGTACTCTTCGTACCGGGAGTTTTAAACGTTAACAAGCAAATCCTTACTAAAGTTCATTAAACATGGGTATCTTCCAAGTGCCAAAATGTTGTCTAATTATCGGCTTTCTGAAATGTTTTACATCCTAAAGTACCATATTGTTTATCCTAGATTGTCTGGGGAACATCTAGTATATTAAAAAGGGTTTCCAGTACTTCTTCATGAATTAACTGATATCATCTTGCCTGCTAGCAAGTCCGCAACATTTTAAAAATGTTTCCCATAAATCAAAGCCTTAGCAGCAGGAATAAACAGAAAGGAGGAGATCGTATTAAATGTATAATGGGAAGCTACTGGATCATGATGTCTTATAATGGATGCAGTGTTTAGCTGTTGTTCGACTTTGTCTCTGCTGGGTACCCTCTCAGATGTGCTTAGCTGGTGTTATTATATTGTCTCGCTGGATGTGGTGCTTATTGTCAGTCTGAACAAAACAACTTCATGTGGGCTCTACAAAGACCTATTTTACTTTTGCTTGAGAATTGTATACCTATAATAAATATAAATACCAACCCATATTAAAAGTAGTTTTAATAAAGATTGCATAAAGGTACGAAATAAAGCACCTTCTGTCGCATACTTAGAAAACAAGAGATTTGTATTAACAGGAGAAAATAGCAATTACTATAAAAATGACTCTACAGTCTCATAATAGCAATGTAAATGTCTTAACTGATCTAAAAGACTTAACATAATTTTAAATTACAATAATTTTACATTCTCCGTTTTTATATACAACCCTATTACAGTCAAATGTATTATAATAACAATGTTCTTATTAAGATTAAGTGGCTGAATTATTCTCAGCCCTTTATAGTATAAAGCAACAGCATTTCTAGCTCTTAAAAAAATGGTTTCACTTTTAGCATTTGATATCTACAATGTCGGCCATAAAACACTCTAGGGTTCGGGATTTTTGTTGTTGTTGTTCAATGAGGACCTATGTCCTTTTCACAAATTAGACAAGACAGCAATATTTCAGTTCCTCATTTTGCATAACGATGAGTTTACCGGTCCATGTATTCTGCAAGAACAAGATAATTCTCAAATGTCTGTTATTAGCTTGTGGGGTGGGGAGCTAACCAGCCCTTCTGCTCCAATGAATATTTCAGCTCCCAAGGCCTCCACCATATGAACAGTACATACCTATTACTAAGACTTGATTAAAGCTGTATTGGAAGCCTCTCGGACATATTTCTCATAAACTACACTTGTAGCATACACTCAAATATTAATCTGGTCTGCTTTCCTTTCCCATTCCAGGGAATGTTGCATGAACTAAGACAGGAAGTTCCATCTCCTTTCTATAAAGAGCTCTATATGAGATCTCCCAGGGTTTGATCTTGCCAGGTGCTGAGTGTCAGTAAAATAACAAAGGCCTGTAGCCAAAGGCACTATGCAGATACTTAACACAATTTGCACAGCAATTATTTTTGAGATTGGTGCAAAACCTGAGTGTGACCAGGCATACTAGAGATTTCAACCTGCGCTAGGTTGCTGTCCATTCAAATGGCAGGCATATAATCCGACAGTTGGGAGATTTGTCTGCTCGTGTTATATAATGGAATTGCTTTTTTAAAAAAAAAAAAATCAAAACGAACATTTGAAACACTTATGCATGGGTACTGCAATGTCTTTTTCAGAGAAGTAAGGAGATTCAGTATCTCCTAAAATCCAGAGTTCAAAGGAATGACCAAGCATGCCCATAGAAGCTGAATGAGAAAACCATGTAGAACATTCATATTTAATTTCTTTATCTCCATTAAGGACTTGTCCACTGATGTCTTTAAAATAATGTGATTTCTATGAAAGGCCAATCTGAACTACTCTCTCACTTTCCACTTCTGAAACATCACTTAACTTTTCTAAGTGCAAAGTTGGGGGTGGATGAGTGCCAGCTTATTTCCTGATTATTAGTATTTGATATAGAATTATTCTATTTATTCAGTTCAACAACCCACACTATTCTCCATGATCCCTCTAGATATGAAAATGATGTGAGTAACCCATGCCCTCTTACTGCTAAACCTCTATTATTTCATTAATCTATGTGTACCATTACAAGTGTATTATCACCTTAACACATATAGTTACCCTAATAATCTGCTGCGATTCCAAGGTCACCTTTTGGATAGTAAATCTAGACTGATAAAATATCACCAGAAAGTTAAACCCCACATCCGTCTGTACTGTAGTTTTAGCATAAAACGTTGGCAAGGGGAACAAGATATACCATAGTACAGCAAAGTAAACAAGCTACACTTCTTAAATATTACTTAGCTGCAATTATTATGGTTGAAAATAATATTATAATCTAATGATTACTGACTCCAAAGAGTATAAAGTTGTGCACTAAGCTCGCTGTTTTTTGCATTGTTCACAGTTCAACCCTATTCATGTCTACTCAGAAGCAGGACAATGAATTCAGTAAGATTTCCCCCAGGTTCATAGAACTGCAGCCTTAATTGTGTATGATATGTAACATCATAATTGCAGGAATTATGCATCTTTTCTAGTCTATTTGACCGACATACTTTATCAATTCCTTTCTCTGATCAATAATGTGAAAATACTTGAATTTTTCAGGTAACAGATTTCCATAAACTGCAAAACAATGTTTTAAGCATTGCCATTTCATTTTTTTAAAAAATAAATAAATTCTTCAACATTCCTGCTGCATTAAGGGACAAACAACATCCCAGATAGAGAGATAGAAAGTCTTTAATATGTATTATCTAACTTGTATTAACTAACTCTCCAGTTGGATAATATTGCCATTCTCCAGAGTTTTAGAACCAGTATCAATATGTCGTTTAAAAATCACCAAACATTAGGACTGAGCCCATAAGGAACTTTTCCTCAAATTGTGGGGATGGGGAAGATTTAGGGGCAAAAAAGGAGGTGAAATAGGGATTTTTCTTTTCTTGCCACTACTTTCAGCTTCATGGCAGTCGGTCCTCCCAGGATGCTAGCAGCCAATTTACTCTCACAATGCTCCTGGAACAATGTTACCTTTTCAAAAAGAATTGTTTTATGAGGAATTGGGGCTGAGAGTGAAAGTGAGGCTGAGAGACTTCAGAGAAGTGTGACTAGCCCAAGGTCACCCAACAGCTGCATGTGGAGGAGCGGGAAGGAAACCTGGTTCACCAGATTACGAGTCCACCGCTCTTAACCACTACACCACACTGGCTCTCATCCTCATCTCCCCAAAACAGTTGAAAAGTCCATCTCCCTAACCTGCGAAACTGGCAACCATCTCAATTCATCCCTGATAAACACATTATCTAATGTGTCTCATTCGCTTTGGGAAAGGTGGGTGATATCGGTTATTTAGCACAGCCCTAGGATGTATTTCCCTTAGCAGTGACAGAGACTCCGGTGCCTAAACCAAGTGCCTCTCAGTTTCAAGCCTAGCTTGGTTAGCTACTGTAGACCGAGTATTCTCAGCTCTTTTGGGAGAGCAGTGCTGGCCAGTTTATATGGTCCAGGAGCAGACTGGAATGAAAACTGCCACTCCAAGGTCGGCTCCTGAATGCCTGCCCCCAGGCAGCCATGGATTGGCTGAAATTCAAACCAGGTCTGGCGGGGACCCGTGTTGCTCTATGGCGGCCAGGAATAGAGTTAACGGGAACGTGGCAGTGCTCTGGTCGGTCCCAGAGTCTTCGCGACAGGATCCAACCACCGTCCACCCTTGAACTGGGTAAGCGGCCATTCTCAGCTCCTTTGGGAATAACAGATTCTGTTATAAACAGTAGCAGCCTAGCTTTTTGCCTTTGATTGGCCAACAGAACAGTATCGTCTGCTTGCTGTACTTCAGGTTGTGGCTTCACCATCTTTTACTTCAGGCTCCCAAATTGGTAGACCCATCTCCAAATCTTGAGTCGTGTATGGCTGCCCTTGGGCCCAACACAGCCCCGACAGCAGTCCACTGGTTTTTTTTGGGATACAACCAGTGCTTTTTTTCCAGGGGTATTCAAGGGTTTGCAGTACCGGCACCTCTTTTTGTCGCTGTTAAAAAGTGTGGCACTTACTGTAACAACTTCCTGGTGAATACCGGCACCTATTTGTCTAGAAAAAAAGCACTGGATATTGGTGTATAATTGCAAGGAAACACATCTGCAGCATTATTAGTAAATAAATATGAATCAGTGGATTGGATCCAGACTGGGTCACACTGAGAGCAGATCCATTGAAATCAATAAAACTGAAGTTAGTCTTAACTTAATGGATTCCTACAAATTTCAGTGGCATGACCAAGTCTAGATCTTATCCATTGCAAAATGTCAGCTGTGCAATAGCAGTGTTACTGTGATCACTTCTAACCAAAGATATGCTTTTCACGAGAGCTTCTTTTCAGGGGAATTCACAGGAACTCAGTTCTCACACCTCTCAGGTGGGTTGTGGTATGTCTCAGGTGCCATTCTAAGAGAACAAGGGAGGTGACTTCCGGAACCTCTTTTTCTATAAAAATAGCACTGCTTTTCACTCTATTGCTCATCTGTGTTGTATGCACACACCTAAACTATATATTCCCAGGGAGGTTCTCTCAACAACAGCTGACTCCTTTCTTTTTCCATTTGAGCTGAGCAACAACATAAATACGTTTCATAATTTTCTTAGCACCAACGAAGTCAAAACAAAACAAAACAAAACAGCAGCACCCTAACTATGCAGTCTTTTCCATGCTATACATCATCTCCATCATCTGAACTGAAGCTACTTCTTCTGCTGCTTCCTTTGGACACAGCAGGAGACACAGAGGATAAGAGTGGATCTGTCCCAAATGGTGATATTGTATCATCTAGTAATATGTCATCCAACCTCTGCTCTTTCAAAGCGGCACTGAACGACAAATCTGTAAAGTGCGAGAGTGGATCCGAAAAGGCTGCAGAGGCATCACCAAGGTCAGAGTGTTGCTCGTGGACCACAGCAAGATGTTGAGAATAGTCTACTGAATTCTCTTCTTGATAGACCTGCTGTTTCATGACATGGGATGCTAAGTCCACCGTGCTGATTGTAGGCATGATTGGCAGGCCATGAGCTCGTGCTTGTATTTCTAGTTCCTGTGGTTGAAGACAATAATATTTAGAACATCACTGTAAAAGGTGAGTTGATTTTGTTTCCGTAAACCAGAATGGGGAAACTGTGGCCTACCAGATGTCGTTGGACTCAAACTCCCATCAGCCCCAGTCAACATGGCCAATGGTCAGGGATAATTAGAAGTGTACTCCAACAATATTTGGAATGTCACAGAGGTTCCCATCTCTGTTGTAGTCTGAGATGTGGTAATGAGGGAATTGAAAGCTACATCTGAAATAATTCTGAAATCTATTTTGACAGTCTGCTTAAAATGTGCAATATTCATACTGCTGACAAACATTGTACAGCATGTTGTTTTTTAGTAGCATAACAGTGATGTTCACACATCATACTAAACCAGGCTTCCACAACCTGATGCCCTACAGGTGTTTTGAACTAAAACCACCATCATCCTTGACCACTGGACATGTTTGCTGGGGCTGATAGAAGCTTGAGTCCTACAACATGTGGCAGGTACCAGGTAGGGCAAAACTGCACTAAAACACAGTAGGTTGTGAAGCTGGCTTGTTTAATGAGCCAGAGTTTGCTTAAAACCACAAACTCTGCTTCTTGCATAATGGCAATCCCGGATTCTGTGGAAGTGAAACTACACACTGACAAAATCCTTCTTCTACCCTTCTTTGAGGACAGAGGAACACACAAGGCTGTTCAGGCTTGTAAATGTTACACTGAACTATGGTTAGCATGATAGGGACATGTGGACATTATGATTAACTATGGTTTGTCATAATGTTAATGAGACTGGGAGAACTAGAAGGAGGATACTGGAAAACCTCGGGGGTTTTTTTGCTAACCACTGTTTAATGTTATGTCCAAATTTCAACAAACTGTGGTTCGTGTTAACTGTAGCTTACAGAAATTAACCTACTATTTAGTTTAACTACAGTTCAGACATAAAGCTAACATATAATTAATTGGAAATGGAAGTAAAATGTTCTGATCTCCTCCTCACAGTCGTGGCAGAGGAGAAGAGGGAAACAGTGGCTGCAGAATCCTAAGACTCATTCTCATTATGACAAGTCAGAGGTTACTGATATGTTTGAAAACTGGCAGTATCATGGGCATTTTCAAAGCATAAAAGAGTATATTGGAGACTTCAGTGTTTAAATAATTTTTTCAATAAACCAAGTTGTTGAAAGGAGTACCATGGCTATGAGCAATGGACATCTATTTACATTGCGGCTCAGTCCACCCAAAGTTAAGCATTTTTAAATTCCATTATTTCAGTGAGAAAATTACAATGTAATCATAGATATTTAACCATCTACTATGACCTGTTAAACTCAGCAGGGCTTACTAATATGTCTACTCAGAGGTAAGTCCCATAGAGTTCTGTGGGCTTACTCCAAGGTGTGAGTACAAGATTGTAACCTTTAATTTCTCCTTTAAATCAATGGCTTCTAAGAATGACTAATTGTGACTGGATCAACGGTTGGATGCATGATCCAGCCAAACCTAAGCCCTTTGGAGTCGCCTTGATTTTAATGGGAGAGTTAAGCATATGCTTAATCTCCCCCACTGAAATCAGCAGCTTAATTTTCGATGGATTGTGCCCTGCATTAAGTACTTAGAAGTGATGAGAAAATCCTGCCAGCGTTTCTACTTGCTAATTATCTACCAAAATTCAGGAATGCTATCTAGAAGCACACCAGATCCCTTACCCAATTAAATATGTTATAAATCATGTGCGCTCTGCTACAGAAAACTGTGGAAAGATGATGTGTGCCTTAATTTAATGTGGCACAACATACCCCAAGGTAACACAATGTCACGGGCATTTTTCAAAGTGCTATGCGGTATCCTGGAGTCTTGAGTGTTCAAATACTATTTTCAACAAACAAATGAAATAAGGAGTGGTTTTCCCCCCCTCCCCACCCTCAATACTGTGGATTTTACCTAGGTCCGAAGGGCAGAATGTCCTTACAGTCTTCCCCTCTAAACCACCGTAATATACACCGTTGTGCGGCTAGCCCTACAAGTACTGCTGCACAAATTAAATACTGCAATCACTAAGATTTTTCAGCATTGTTCTGTTAAAGTACTATGGATGATTGGAAAGATACTGCTAGACACAATTTGATGATGGAGAAGCAGGGGCGGGGGGGGGGGGAGGAAACTCGACCCCTAATGGGTCCATCCCGATACAAACCTGAATTCGAAGCAAAAGCCTCCTATTGGCCTGTTCTAATTTCTTCTGTCTATGCTCTAATTCTCTGCCTCTTTGTTGTTCTTTTTGTAACCACTTGATATACTCCACCGATGCTTTTAAAATAGTTCCTTTGTTCCAGCGCATATCACTGCAGAAAGTGGAGATAACCTTTTCACAATTGTGCATGTCAGCAAAATTCATAAGAACGTACAAAATCTTTTACATTAATATGAAATAATGATTTACATGACCATTATTCACTCTTAGATATTATTGCTTCTGAATGGAAATTTTAATAGAATAGTTAAGAAGCCCTTATATAGTAAAATTAATCCCAGAATGAAAATAAGTGTCAAAAGAAAGTAATAAAGTGACTTTTTGTGTGTGGAAGAGCTAAATGCAATATCATGATTCTACCATTACAGTTTTTATATTTTTAGTGAAAATTGCTTTTATTATTAACTCTAAGATTAAAATCTATGTGCAGTATTTCTACATTAATGAACTAGGAAACATACATTACTGAGAGTTTAAGCCTAAATTTTTAAAGATCATTTCAAATATACTTCTCTTTTTTCCTGACTTTCTAATGAGGATGCTTTTATGCTTATTGGAATAATAATAAAAAAGGCTCAATTTTGATCCCTACTGCTGATGATACACAGAAACCATAGTTTAGCAACTATTATGTCATATTACAAAACCTATGTGATTAAGGCAAACTAAAACAAACTTCTCAATATACCGTATGTATGCCTATTGCCTTGTATTGCATTGCACATTCATACTGAAGCAGTTCTGAAGCAGTTTAAGAGGAGGTACCAATAACTGCAATTGTACAATTGCAATCACACAGAGTTGCATGCATCAAGGTGTATATCTGAAGTGGTGACATAAGGAAAGACAGACACTTGATAGAGTTGAGAGGGCACCTTGTCCAGATCACGTCTCATAGGGTGTCACAGAAGCTATGTTAGTTTCTGCCAGCTTATACACTTTCACAACTGTACAGATCTTTAGGACCAAGGCGCCAATATAATTGGTCCTGAGTAATGAGCTACTTCTTCTTACAATGTTTGGCAAAACAATGCAAATAAACGGTGTGGTCATTCCCTCAAAACATCTGGGTTGAATCAACAAGTATAGGGATTTTCATATGAGGGCCAGTGAAGCCAAACTGGGTATACTGGTCCTGGCTTAAGCTGTGATCTATACCCTAGTGCCCTGGAATTTCTGTCTTTCTGGAAGTTTCATATTTTTATCAGTCCATCCCCTCCTCTCCCAATCTCAGTGATCCAAACAGAACCAACATCAAGTTTAGTTAGGTCTGGATTGCAACAAAGAGAAGCCAACCAGGTGATATCCAACTAAGTCATACATAGAATAAAATCACTAAGATAAAGGTGCTTAATTTACATAGGTCTGTAAATGATATTGCATTTAGCTCTTCCACACACAAAAAGTCACTTTATTACTTTCTTTTGACACTTATTTTCATTCTGGAATTAATTTTTACTATATAAGGGCTTCTTAACTATTCTATTAATAGTAGGTTTACTCTGCATATGACTTAGTTGGCTATCACCCATTGTAATTTATACGCTATGTTGTACACTGTGTTGCATTACTATTCAGGGAATCTTTTCCGGGATTGATATGAACAGCGGTAGTTAACAGCGCAGTGGGGTTGCCTTACTTGCCTGTCCTCCCTCTGGCTGAGTTGCCGCTGCAAACAAGGACAGAGAGAGGCAAGGTCGGTGCACTGTAAATATATATATTTACATATATACGGCCTATGACTGCACTAAGTTTATCGCTGGTGAGTTCATTCAATGCAGCTTGTCACATCAACTGTATACTTATGTTAGTCTCACATAGCTTTGTATTGTTATAAAAATCCTTAATTTAATCAAATATTTCTTAGCTCTTGGAAGGGGGAAATGTGTCAAAGAGATATTCCACCCCAATATCATGTGGAGCTGTATGCGCGAGAAAATGAAAGGCATAATGTTTGTATAAATAAGCAGCTACATGATTGCATCACAATCATAATACCACATACCATTTAGGCTTAGTGGAGTGGCATTAGAACTCCAAAGATGAAAGCATAGGCAGTAAATAATAAACTGAGCAGTTAATTCTAATGCCGCTTTAGGCTTTTAAAATCATGCTATTTACAGCAGTGTTTTGCCAAACCCCCTCTTGTAGGAAGCAGAGGTTTATAGCTCACTCGGTACCAGTTGTGAAGTGCACAGGAAGGCATTTGCAATGGGGAGGTGGGCTTCAATCAGGGTTTCCTTTATCTTTTTTTTCTGAACTAAAAAGCCCCAGAGAATTTTGGTTGTACTTTTGGGCACTTTTTCCAGTTCTACGATGTCCTTTTTGTGATATGACAACCAGAACTGCACTCAGTATTCTAAGAGTGATTGCACTATGGACTTTTTAAAGGTGTTATGATATTGGCATTTTTGAAAAATCAATCTTTTTCTAAATTTTCCCTAACATAGAACGCTTCTTTATCATAGCTGCCACAAATTGGGCCAATGCTTTCACTGGATTATCCACCATGACCCCAAGTTCTCCTTCCTTGTCAATCACCACTGGTTCAGAAGCCATCACCATGCAAGGTTAAGGGGTGGCGGAAGGATGACACACAGCTCACTTTATACTTAACTTAAAATGAACTGCAGTTGGCATTTATTGCTGATTCATCCAGTTTGGAGGGATCCTTTTGGAACTCTTTATATTCCCCTTTTGTTTTTACCACTCTGAATAATTTGGTGTCATCACCAAAACATACACCTGATGGCTCACTCCAAATCATTTATGAATTACTAAACCATCACCCATCCCAATACAGATCACCGGGCAAAGGTAAAAGGGTAAAGGACTCCTGGACGGTTAAGTCCAGTCAAAGGCAACTATGGGGTTGCAGTGCTCATTTCGCTTTCAGGCTGAGGGACCTGCTGTTTGTCCACAGACAGCTTTTCGGGTCATGTGGCCAGCATGACTAAACCACTTCTGGCGCAATGGGACACCGTGACGGAAGCCAGAGCGCACAGGAACACCTTTTACCTTCCTGAAACAGTGGTACCTATTTATCTACTTGCACTGGTGTGCTTTTGAACTGCTAGGTTGGCAGGCACTGGGGCAGAGCAACGGGAGCTCACCCAGTCACATTCAAACTGTTGACCTTCTGATCGGCAAGCCCAAGAGGCTCAGTGGTTTATACCACAGTGCCACCCACGCCCCCAGTTCTTCCATTTGTCTGCTGTGGGAACTGTCTATTTATTCTTACTGTTTCTCCTTGTCCAGTTATTTTCATCATTTCAACTTAAAACTCTTTCTGCCAACATGTTCAAATTCAAATAAAAGAAATCGGGCAACCATCCAATAAAGTCCCTCCCCCAAAAGTTTAAAAAAGGTCCTTTTGTAATCCTATTTACCACAATAATTTTAAGAAGATTTCTCAGCTTTTTGGGGGGAGGTGTGTGAAGCCCATGAAACCATAAAGCATTTTTGTTATTTCAAAGCACAGAGGAGCAGCACAGGTTTTTCACTGCAATGCACTCTATGGGGCTGCCTTTGAAGGTGACCCGGAAACTACAACTAATCCAGAATACGGCAGCTAGACTGGTGACTGGGAGCGGCCACTGAGACCACATAACACCAATCTTGAAAGACCTACATTGGCTCCCAGTACGTTTCCGAGCACGATTCAAAGTGTTGGTGCTGAACTTTAAAGCCCTAAATGGCCTCAGCCCAGTATACCTGAAGGAGAGTCTCCACCTCCATCTTTCAGCCCAGACACTGAGGTCCAGCACCAGAAGGGCCTTCTGGTGGTTCCCTCACTGCGAGAAATGCGGTAACAGGGAACCAGGCAGAGGGTTTTCTTGGTAGTGGAATGCCCTCCCATCAGATGTCAAGAAAATAAACAACTATCTGACTTTAGAAGACAAATGAAGGCAACTCTGTTTAGGGAAGTTTTTAACGTTTCATGTTTTATTGTGTTTTTAATATTCTGTTGTAAGCCTCCCAGAGTGGCTGGGGAAACCCAGATAGATGGGTGGGGTATAAATGATTTATTATTATTATTATTATTATTATTATTATTAATTTCACTTCAGCCAAACAGCAAATCTGGTTGGAATGGAGAATTGATTTAGTGTGGGGAAAGTGGCCAGCATATAAAAAGTTAAGTAGAACCCCTTCCCAACCCCCAACTTTTCTTCCCTCAAAGTCATCTTTAGAAGCTGCTTTTCTTTAAAGAAAAAAAAATTGCTGACACTTTAGTACACTTATCAGGTCTTGCTTGTCGGCTGCCAATAGGCCCCTGGTAGCATCTTGTGGGTATGTGCAAGAACAGGATGCTGAACTGCATGGGCCTTTGGACAGACCTGTCAGCGCTGTTCTTACGTTCTTATTTCTGTATTAACATCTCACTTGCTCATAATTCCTACGTGTAGGCCATCCCATATAAGCTAATAAAACCCACCAATTATTCAGAGATTTTTATGAGCCACTGTGGACCCTATAAGTACGTGCGCCATCTTTGTGGTACCACAGTTACATGCTTGCCCAGTTGCCATTGAACAGTAACAATGCCTTCTCAGTGGCAATTCTCCAGTTGTGGAGTGCCTTCCCTGATACGATCCTCATTATTAACTTTCAGGAGGGATTTAAAAACATTCCTGTTCGCTCAGTCAATTGATGGCTGAAAAATAATATCCCTGGAAACTTTGCACTTATCAGCTGTGAGAATATGTGACTGTTTTACGTGTTTTTGGAGGAGCAGGTTTTGAATTGTTTTTTAAAAAGTTTTTCTTCTATTTTTAATTGCATTGGAAGGAAGGGAGAGATAGAAATTTAGTAAATAAATAAAAATATTTGCAAAAGCTCTCTGTTCCATTGTACTGCGCGTTCTTTTGACTTGTCAAGACAGTACCAGACATCATAGAGCCAGGGCTTTTTCCGAACCAGAGCTTGCTTCCAGCACCTCTCAGGTGAACACCATTTTCATCATAAGAGAACAAGGGAGGCAGTCATGATGAGTTCCGGCAATATATATATATATATATATGTATAAAACACAGCCCTGCATAGCATATACATGTCTGATCATGGGGATTCTGTCCAAAATGCTATAAGTATTGCATGTGAACCTGAAGAATTATGTAGGGAAAGGGGAGGTGGATCTGAATTAATCAAATATCAACAATTCCGCAGACGTCTGCTAGGAGAACAATGATGTGAAACCAAACTGTCCAAGTTAACCTTGACATCTAGCAAATCTATTTCATCTTCAGCCCCTTTCATTATATTTAAGCAGTAGAAACAATGACAGAAATGACAGCCGAACTCACGGATCATTAGACTTTGGGATAAGTGTACCAAGCTCCTTGATCCGGTAATTAATGTTGTACCGTCTTCTTCTTTCAACTATGAAAACAAGAGATTGTAATAATAGCAGCATGTAACAGAACGGATGTAATTCATCAGCAGGCAGTGAAATGCTGTGCCTCTTTCGAAACATCACAACGCCACCCTCTTTGTAACACCTGAAAATACTCAATCTGTGATAACGGGGGGGGGGGGTGATGCTAGTTCAACCACACTGGAGCCAGGAGGTTCAGTCAAGAGGTTACTGCTTGCTCTCAGACTACAATTGTGGCATCTAATGTCAGCCATACACCCAGCCTCCACATCTGGGCACTCTCAACCTAGATCTAATTCTTAATTAGGAGAGCAAGTTAAATATTTTGACTCCTCTTCCGAGACCACTCCCTCAAAAAGTGGGAGGCCTTGGCTTGGTTTCTCAAACATCCATCTCTGGCAAGACAGCCCCAAAGGATTCCTCCTCCTGGCCAACCCAACTGCAGAAATTATTATTATTAACGCAATATATTCATCCCGCAAAGGATCCCTCGGGTTGAGGGGCACCATTCACAGAAACTGAACCATTCCTGTTGAGTTATGACGAACTCAACCAAATCAATGAAAAGGAGATCAATGTACTGTAACTCTCTGACCCGGACAGAATGACACAATAAGTGAAAAGCCAATGTGACCAATGGCCAAGCACACATCTATATCTTATATCTATACAGTGGTACCTCGGGTAAAGTACTTAATTCATTCCAGAGGTCCATACTTAACCTGAAGCTGTTCTTAATCTGAAGCACCACTTTAGCTAATGGGGCCTCCTGCTGCTGCCGTGCCGCCGGAGCACGATTTCTGTTCTCATCCTGAAGCAAAGTTCTTAACCTGAAGCACTATTTCTGGGATAGCGGAGTCTGTAACCTGAAGCGTATATAACCTGAAGCATATGTAACCCGAGGTACTGTACTCAAGAACCACTGCCCTAACCAGCTATAGTCTGCAGTTGCATCAGTCCTGGTTTTGCTAACTGAGAGTCAAATTACACGTGTCATTTGGGCATAAAAGTGGGGTAGAAATGAACGAACAATAATAATAATAATATGGCATTAGTTATATAGCTCTGCTTTTAAGTGCAAGGTTCTTTTGCTTTCTAACAAACAGCCAGGGCGGGAGAGCAAATCCAGGAATGGCAGATGGCGTTCCCTTCTGGCTTTGATCAAGATCAAAGCCAGTTAATTTGCAAGCCTGGCTTGGGCCAGCTTCATCAACATCCCTGGGCTCAAGAGGCCTCTCTCAGTCCTGCAAGTTGAGAACCTTGCAGCTGGAAATGCAAGTGATTGAACTTCAGACATTCTGCATGGAAAGCGTAACCACTACCACCCTTCAGTAGGCAAAGCTATGGTCTCTCCCACAGGTAAACATGCTATTTCAGTGTAGGCAAAACATTATATATGTAAGACAACGTTCTGGGTGTCAGGAATGAGGTTGATCTCCCTTTACACATGTGCATTTTTGTACTGTGTCTGCTTCGCACATAAAGGAACCCAATTACAGTGGTACCTCAGGTTAAGTACTTAATTCATTCTGGAGGCCCATACTTAACCTGAAACTGTTCTTAACCTGAAGCACCACTTTAGCTAATGGGGCCTCCCGCTGCCGCCGCGCTGCCGGAGCACAATTTCTGTTCTCATCCTGAAGCAAAGTTCTTAACCTGAGGTAATATTTCTGGGTTAGCGGAGTCTGTAACCTGAAGTGCATGTAACCTGAAGCGTATGTAACCCGAGGTACCACTGTATATCCTTCAGCATTAGCAGGTACTTCCCCACCCTGTACAACCTAGGGACAACAGTTCATGTAAATATACTCACTGAGATTATGGTTATCCTTTTTTTGCCTCTCCTTTGCCATTGCTCGAGTATCTGTTTCTGACAGAAAGCAAAAACTGTTCAAACAGTCATTGGGTCACAATTCCAGAAATTGCTCTGTGTAACAACAGGACCTTTTAATTGCGCAACTTTTTCAGGCGAGCCTTCAAGCAATTTTATGTACTCCCTGATTTACCAAAGATGATTGTACCACTTCCTGCAGTTTGTCAGTTGCTGTTTACAGCATGTGTTGCTGTTCTATGTGTGCCAGGGATTTTTTTTTTATAGCCATCATGCATTTTTAATTTTTAGAAACTGAAAAAGTAGATCATGGCATTTAACAATTTTCTAATTTTCTGTACTTTACCATGGGGCGGGTAAGCACCCAGAGTGAATTTGAGTTTCCCTTCCCATCATTCAAGAAATAATCAGATTTCTTAAATAGTCAAATTGGGGAAGGGGGAGAGGAAACCCCCCTCTTTGTTCCTTTTGCATTGCATTGATAACACTGTACACAGTTGTTAGCATTCTTTGGATTAAATGAATGTAACTTTTAAAGTTGTTAATCCATTAATACGGATTTTCCATGAATAGATGTATTGTGAACCTTTAAGAGAGTCATTTGTGGCAACTTGGAACAAATTTTAATGGATGGTAACTTATTTATACCATCGATCAGAAGCCCAAATGTGCCCGAATCTGCTATGTTTCCTACAGTAATTAGGTTTATTAGCAGCGTTATATCCAGAAAAATCACTGCTTTGAAGCTTACCCAGCTAGACAGAACTAAGAAATACTGTAACTCATCTTTGGGAACATTCTGTTCTAAGAAAGCAGGACAAGACCTTTGCAAGGCCTGAGCAAGGCCTTGCAAAATCAATGAGGAAATGTAAAGTTCAGGGCAGTTTTGAAAAACAAAATTAAAGTATTAAGCTTTATCCCTCAAAACATGCATTTCAAAGGGCTCAGAAGGCAGTAAAAGACATCTGGTGTAGTTCTGTCTCTGAAGATAAAAGGACAAACGTAGGTGTGATTATAGGTACGAATGATTATGCTTGATTTTTGTATGATGGATAGCAGCCACAGGAGGGGCAGATCCAAATCTGGAACTTAGTGTGAGTAGACAGGGAGTTTAAAACCACATCCCCACCACATTCAACCCAGCTGCCCCCACGTGGTTCCTACTTAGTAAAAACCAAGTGAGCAAGGCCAGTCACATTGTATCCTCAACTGATGATGGAGCGGTACCTATTTATCTACTTGCACTTTGACATGCTTTCGAACTGCTAGGTTGGCAGGAGCAGGGACCGAGCAATGGGAGCTCACCCCGTCGCAGGGATTCGAACCGCTGACCTTCTGATCGGCAAGTCCTAGGCTCTGTGGTTTAACCCACAGTGCCACCCGCGTCTCATACATACATACATACATACATACATACATATATACATACATACAGTTCTGAATACATTTGCTTAAATGTGGCTGGAATTTATCTTAAGTACAGTCAAACCTTGGTTGTTGAATGTAATCCGTTCCAGAAGCCCATTTGGCTTTGGAAAAGTTCGACAACCGAGGCACGGCTTCTGATTGGTTGCAAGAGCCTCCAGCACTCAAGCAGAAGCCGCGTCAGATGTTCGTCACGGGGATTCGAACCGCCGACCTTCTGATCGGCAAGCCCTATGCTCTGTGGTTTAATGTAGTTTATTAGTAGCAGCTAATAAATCCTTTATAGGTCAACATCTGAAAATGAATCAAATGAGGCAAAACATCAAGGGCATATGATATTTAATAGTACATGTATTCTGCAAAAATTGCTCTTATAGATTATTGGACCCAACTATAGATTATTAGACAGTCATTCAAAACAAGGGGAGATAATGCAGTGTCTTCAAGATGTGGCTGGATTGCACCCCCATCAGCCCCAGCCAGTATGGCCAATGGTGGGGGATGATGGAAATAACATCTGGAGGGCACCCAACTCACCCCCCCCAAAGTATGGAGGAAGTGGTCAAAACTAGTGCAGAGCCAAAGGTGGGTGGCAAACTGTGTGTGCATAATTAAAGGAACATTGAAGGAGCCAAAGGTTGCTGCAGGACATCTCCCAGTGGCTGCTGGCTGACCGATGCCATTTCCCCAAGAGTCCTAGCTATGCATAATGTTAGGATCGGGGGGGGGGCTTTCAGCCGGAGTTCACCAAAGCACAGTTCTGGCACCTTTCAGGTGGGCACCACTGTGGACCAGCACTCCCCCTACCTGCTTTTGCTTTTACTCACTTCTGAGAAGCCCAAAACAAGCGTTTCAAGTCAAAACAGAAGCTGGCCAGTGTCTACACTTTTTTTTAAGATACATGACTCCAGCTAGCTCCTAGCTGTGATTGGTCAAGCTACAGGACAGAGACAATTTGTATTTCCTTTTCTTCATTCCGTCTGCCATGTAGTAGCGGTGGGCTTTAAGCCTTCCAGCCAGGCCTCTACATGTGTGCATTTGATTATCTCCTTCTACTGGTCCACAATAGAAAATGTCCTTTCATACTGCATCACGGTGTGGTATACTGGTTTGACATCAACTGATAGGAAGTGCCTACAGAGGGTGGTGAATACAGCGCAAGATATTATGGGCTGTCCCGTGAATGACACTGAGGAAGAACATTGCCTCAGGAGAGTGAGGAAAATTCTCAGGGATGATTCGCACCCTGGCGGGCACTTTCTTGATCTCCTGCCCTCAGGCAGAAGATATAGAGGCATGATTAGTCGCACCAACAGGGTAAAGAACAGCTTCTATAACTTACTATAACAACTTCATGGTGAGTTCTGACACCTATTTCTCTTGAATAAAAGCACGGGCTAGGATCATGCAGAATGGGCTTCTGTGGGGTGGGAGAAAGGCTGGTACTGTTATTTTCAAAATGATAAGCCTGTGCCAACATCTCAGCGTTATATTACCTGTGATTTCCCTTTTAACAGGCAAATTAGATGGGCAGGATGCATTCGTGAGACCCATATTAGCAGCTGGCATTCCTTGGTCACTGTTGTATATATCCAAAATGCTACTTGAAAGCTGTGGGGGAAATATAGGGAGAGGGAGAGGGAGAGGGAGAGAGAGTCAGAAAAGTTAGGGGTGAGTGAATCAGAATAAATTCATGATTTGTAAGGTGAAAGGCATATGCAGACACTTAAGAACAAAATTCCTTTTCAAATGCGTATTCATGTCTTAATCGCAGCGGGAGGTAGAAAATATGCATCTAAAGGCAGACTTTGCCCTTATCTTGTATAAAACAAAATTAAATGTTAAGGGTCAAAGACTGCCATTGTTCCATATTCAGAAACTTGAGTGAGGCTGATGTGTGTTTCATATGCAGAATGATGCCTGGTTATGGCCCCTGATGTCCGATTTTGAATTAATGCCATAGCATATTTTCCAATAACAGGATTACTGCAACTACACTTCGAATATGAGTTAAGTTGAAAGGGAAAATAACTTTGCTGGTCTTACCTGAGACCTGAGCGGATTTGTAACTATCTCCCTGAACTCAAAATTCATTTCTCAGTTTGTTGATACTTTGCAGAAAGGAAGAGGCACTGTGGTACAAAACACCTTAAAATGGGTTTGGGGGCCATGATGTGGACAACTGCCTTAAAATGGTACTGTGCTAGATGAGAAAAATCATTCTGCACCTGTCATATATGCCTAGATGTTAGCACTGTTGTTCATTAATTTCTTATGTGTAACGAGAAATATGCAAAAAACAGTGAATTTGCTTAATAATAATAATAATAATAAATTTTATTTAAACCCCGCCCTCCCCAGCCAAGACCAGGCTCAGGGCTGCTAACACCTGATATAAAAACAAATTGATTGAAATGCAACTTTAAAACAAGATTAAAATACAACATTAAAACATTAAAATACAGCCTCATTTCAATGGAAACTCAAATCAAAAACTTTTTTGGGGAGTCTTCCCCCAGGCTAACTTTCCACACTGGTCCTACATGGGCCAGAAAAAAGCCAGGGAAGTCCCCAAATAGGAGTTCCATCACAGGAGGAGAAAGGAAAAAAGAAGAGGGGGAGGGAATCAAATTGATTTCAAGCCGAAGGCCAGGCGGAACAACTCCATCTTACAGGCCCTGCAGAAAGAAATCAGATCCTGCAGTGCCTTGGTCTCATGAGACAGAGCGTTCCACCAGGCCGGAGCCAGAGCTGAGAAGGCCCTGGCTCTGGTTGAGGCTAATCTGACTTCCTTAGAGCCCGGGACCTCTAGGGTGTTGCTATTTATGGACCTTAAGGTCCTCCATGGGGCATACCAGGAGAGGCTGTACTGTAGGTACGAGGGTCCTAGGCTGTGAAGGGCTTTAAAGGTCAAAACCAGCACCTTAAATCAGACCCTGCACACCACCGGGAGCCAGTGCAGCTGGAAAAGCACTGGGTGAATATGCTCCCATGGCAGAGACCCCGTGAGGAACCTCATAAAAATACAAAATGTGAGCACAAAATATGTAACAGAAGCAAGTCCAAGAACAAAACAAGCCAATAACCCTAGATAACCAAACATATAGAACCAGACATTTCCTTGGCTACATATCCAACAGTAACTGAAGATGTGAAGAACTTTCATTGTGATAATATCTTCTCCTATCAAAACTGGAACATGGCACCTTATTTCAAAGACGTGCTTTGGCCATAACTTTTCTCCATTTTGCGATAATGAGCACAGAAACAAGGAGGCAGATCTCACAGACCCAAATGGAAAGGAAAAAAGCAGGGGTGGGAGAAGAACATAGCAAGAACAACTTCCTTCGGGAGAGGAAATAGTGGAAATCTATTGAAGTGGTCTTTAAGAACCCAAACGTATTTGAGCAGTGTAATTATTCTTATGCTTCATCCTAGCTCCAGTCAAACAGACGATTTCTCTTTCCTTTCAAGATCTTTTTTAGTATTTCCACTTTATATTCGAAAGTTTATTTTATTTCTATACTGGTGTGCTTCTCCGTGACCCAATAAGAGCATCAAGAACAAATGGAACCCAGTTAGACTTGCTGTGGCCTAATGATTATTGACTTATGATTTGGACGCCTTCATTTTCACTGGTGGCACTAGTGTTATAGAAAGCACTCTTTGCTGAAATATGAGAGGTCTCATCTGTACTGGCATACCACCGGTTCCCTTGAAGAGGCACCTGCTCCCACATCTTTTCAACCTGACTATCCTGCTTTAATTGTGTTGTTTTAATGCACATTTCAATCATGTACATGTATATTTTAATTCTCGTGTAATTGGTTTTTATGCCAGGAGCTTGTCCTACACTCGAGTAGGACCCTGGCAGAGACACATGCCCGACTGGCATGTTCTCTCCTTCCTGGTCTATCGTTTGGGAGCTTCAAAAGCTTTCTTCAGCCTGAACATCACAGCGACCGATGCCAACAGACACCAGCACACTTAGGGATCCACAGAGTCTTTGCAGCTTGCATAACAGACCTCAGCAACTCAGCATTTTGGCTAATCTACTTTATTTACATATAAACACACACGGAGCACTGCAACATAGCTCCCTCTCTCTCTAGCATCAGATAGCAGAAAGAAAAAACAAAGGACAATAGTCCCACTTCACGGAACACAGTAACACAAACATCCTGTCTCTGTCACTTCCCACTCTGTGGAGTCAAAACATACACCGTCATGTGATAGACAACAATCCCATGACTGCAATCACGGAGCAGAAATTCTAACAGAAATCTGCTGAGAAGCCTATTTTAGCATTAAGAGGTGTATAAATGTTAATTATTATAATAACCTTGCACGAGATACACAGGAGTCACACAACGGATGCACGCCACCTGTATGTAACAGTATCACAGTACTGTAACTCTACCCTCTTTTTCCGTCAGTTGCTTGCTCCATATAAACACAAAGATATGGGCAACTGGCAGTTCTTCCCAACTATTCTTACTAATGGGATGTAGAATAAAAGTCTTTAGCTATCGCCGAACTGAAGCAACTACCACTGCTTAAACTGTAACCAGCAAGTGCCAATTGGAAGCCTTGTGTGTCTTTATCCTGTCACTTCCAGAAAATTCTCATATCTTTTTATGTCTTCATAGAGATAGGTTTTAAAGAATGTTCAGAATTCTTATTCAAGAGCAAGCTGTGTTTAATATGTAGGATTTGAAAGCTAAGCACATTTCCAGCTTAAGCACCTTTATTTTATTCCTGAGTAGTAAGACAAAATGTATTCTTCTCATCATAATTTTCATATATATATATATATATATATATATATATATATATATATATATTCTAGTTCTGTCGCCTTTCCGATCATTCTTTAACTGAATGGTGACAATTAAATTGACATGCACATTGCAGACTACACTGGCTTGCTATTTGCTTGAAACTGAAGTATCTACAGGATACTTAATTGAAGATCTTAACAAAATAGATGATCTTCGTAGTTATTTAGATTGCTTCCTCAATGATCTCTGAGATGAATAAGCATCACCTACAAGTCTTTATACAAGCGAATCCTACCAGGTTTTGTTGGGGTGGGTGGGAATAGGAAGTTACAGATATTAATAAAATTGGGGGGGGGTGTGAATGAATAAAGAATATACCCAAAACATTTAAGCAGTTCAAATCTTTAATCCCCTTTCCACATGCATAGTGAGCATGTAGAATGAGGAGCAGGACTGTATGCATCAGCCCTAACGTCCGTGTGGTCACAGAACATCTGAAAGAGGACTCTATGTGCACACCTATATGCAGTTGGGCTCCTTTTTGGGACGCCACCAGGCAGAGTGGAGCTGGCAGATTCAAATACATTTACTCTTTGTCTATGTAAGTGCAGAGGAATGAGTAGACATAATGAGCTCTTAGTCAAGCCGCTGTGTGTCAAGTTTCAGTTTAGTTAATCTCTTCCTCTACCCATGGAATCTCCTAGCATAGTAAAAGTGCATCTCTTTTTTTTCGTCGTGGGACTCGAAGGGAGCTTCCAAACCGTCACTATTTTCACATCTGCCAAAGGGACTGGCCAGGTCTTCCAGACCTAGGAATCTCAATTTTCAAAACACATGCCTTCTTATTAGGGATGGAGGAGCAATTTAAAGCAGAATCTATCAAATTTGCACTTCTGAAACAATGTGCAAACTGAAACACAGCTATCCTTTCAAATTTGCATTTATCTGAATTTTGCAATGCAGTTCTCCAACTGTTTTCCAAAAAAAGGGGGGTGAGCATAAAAATAAAAATGGCAATGAAAATGGCACAAAAAGGCAATGTATTAGGTAGATTTGTTTACAAAAATGCAAACAGCATATAAGAATATGCTTGTTGGGAGAAATTCACACTAAAATGCTGGTGAGATGTCATGAGGATTTTTGAACTGCAAATTGCTGCAGAATGTGGAGAACTGATGTTAAGATTGGAAACATGAGAAACTGAGAGGTCCAAAACTGACAGATCCTACTTCTTATACAACTACTTGGTGGGGAGTCAATTTGCATCAGCACATAACTTGTAGATGCACCATCTTCTGCATTCTTACTTCTCATATTCCAAAGCTGATCTCATCCTCCGGCATATGAAAGGGTTCTGGGGCTGAGCTCTGGTGATCACCATCTCAAACCAAGCCCAGCTGTAGAAAATTCTTTGTGTCAGTTCTAATCAGGCAGTCACTGTGGCAGGCCCACATCCTATTTATTTTAGGCCTTTAAAACAAAAAAAGCAACACATACATATTGTCTGTTTTTAAAATGCAAAAAATAAATAAATAAGGAAAACCAGCTTCCTGGTTTGCATCAGAAAGGACCGACATCTGTGAAAAAGATGATATGCAAGCAAAGGGGCAGCAAATGAAAAAGATATATGAACTTAGAACACAGAATATGGGATGCATCAGACCACTGGTCCATCTCGTAGTATTGTCAACATTGACTGGTAGTAGTACCAGACAGGAATCTTTTACAGGAAACTACCTGTTGGTAGTTTCACCACCCTCAGAAAGTCAGGTGGGGCGTTGGCACAGGGAGTGCATTCTCTGCAGTAGCCGCTAAGCTTGGAAATTTCCTCCCTACAGAGGTGAGTTTGATATCTCCTGTCGTTTTTGTTGTATGATGAAGATGCACCACTTGACCCTGGCCTTTGACACCTGAGATGTATATTTCAGAAACCAATTTTAAAACCAATTTTAATGTTGTATTTTTAAACGGCTGCAACCGCATGATGCAGGATTGGTAAAAATATCTGCTATTATTAACAACAACAACCATATCTGAGCTCCAGATCTTAGACATAAAAGTGTAGCTACTTTTCTTGATGCGGTATTATTCCTGAACTACTGCTAGAGTATGAGTTCCCTGTGCCATTCAAAAGGCAGATTAAAATAAGGAAAAAGACAAACAGATCAAGGATTCTTATTATGCAATCAAAATTCCACCTCTCTTACTTTAAGGATCAAAGCTAATATAAACTCAAGAATGTCACCATCTTCTAATTCGCCAAAGGCAGATCAGGGCACAAACTGAGTCAAGCAAACCTCCGTCCAACCAAAACCAGCATGACAGATAACAAAAATATGCTCCACAACATGATAGTCAAGTACTCTGAACTGCTGAAGGCCAGAATATATTTATATAGCATGCACATGCCAACAAATACATTTAGAGAAACAGTACCTTTCAATTCAATGCATTTTGCGCTCTTCACTGTCTCAGTCACTATAGGCCAATATGCATCTCTCTCTGTCTTCATGCAACCAAATTGTAAATCATTTCACTCAGTGATGAGAACTGCACTAAATGATTAACGCAGCAAATGGTTAACTAGTCCCTGTTAGATGGTACAACTGCACTGAAGTATAACTGAAGCGCCAATAAGGGAAACAAAATGCATTTACCCAGGGTAGGCTCTGTGAAAAGATTACTACAAAACCTTAATCATCACATAATAGTGTCTTAACATTTCATTTGAATGAAATATGGAGCTTCTCTAAACTTTAATTATGTCGATTAAGCCAAAGTAGCTGGAGATTATGATAAGAACGTTGTTAACAATGATCTTTTTATCCAAAGCTCGAGGTGTTGTGCAAGTTTCTGCATCTATCTATTTGGCTTACTTATGTATTTATTCTAACTCATCTAATGGGGGACAATGAGTTTCTGCATCTCCACTAGGATAGTCGTTAACACATCTAGGGATGGTAGATCTTGCCTCAGATATGCCCTGGTTATACCCAGGCTGCAGTGTTGGGCTGCCTTTAAAGGTGATTCTGAAGCTTCAGTTGCTGCCTGGATGCTTGTGGGGGCAAGACACCCAGACTGTGTTACTCCAATATTGTATCAGTTACAATGGTTGCCTATGCACTTCCTAGTTAAGTGCTGGTTTTGACTTTTTAAAACCTGGAAATGCTACTTGGTGGCTCCAGCCAAAGCAGCCTGCCCAGGCTTTGAGATTAGCCACAGAGGCACAGCTCACAGACGCAGCAGTGAGCATGATTAGGTTGGTTGGAACATGAGACAGGGCCTATTTGGTGGTGACTTGATGCCTAAAGAATTCCCTCTTCTGAAATATACATTTGGCCTCATCCCTATATCCTCTCTGAAAGGATGTGAGCCTGGATAGCTCACTCAGGCGAGCACGAGACTCTTCATCCCAAGGTTGTGGGTTTGATGCCCAAGTTGGGTGAAAGATTCCTGCATTGCAGGGGGTTGGACTAGATGTCCCTTGTGGTCCCTCCCAACTCTATGATCCTATTATTCTAAATGGGCCCTAAATACACCCCCCAAAAAATCTGCCTTTGGTTAGGAAATTGTTTTCGGTTAAACAAACAAACAATGCAATGTTAAGAGCACTCTTCTCTCCTTCCAGTTAATATGGTTCACCATGGTCAAAATCGAACACAGATCCTCTTAATACAATAATTCTCAGAGCCCAATACTCAATCAATTATTTAAGTGAACAGAAAGTATGCTCCTTGACTGACTTGGTTAGGTAATAATTGCCCAAAAGTAGAATGTATTAAAAATCTTCAATTTAAACATCAACCATATTGATTCATTTTAAACATAGCCACCACTGAGTTAATAAAGTTTAGGAGCTGCACTATTTTCATCTGTCAAGTGGATAGCTGGAATTAGAAGCATGCTCTCATTCATTTCCTAAATTAACTAAAATACAATTTGTTCAATGTTTGTTTCATTTTCTTATCATTTGCTTTTTGGGTTTATTCAGTATAAGTAGCCAACACGGATTGGTTTAATCTTTGAAGTTGGCAGATGACCTAGAAAATATGCATTGCTTTTTTGTCCTGTTAATGCACACTCATCTTTTGCTACTGCTGCCGCTACTCACACAATGATATCAAAGCTATCAAAAGATATTTCCTCTTCAAACTCAAAGGGGAAGCAGAGCTGTTTCTACCTTGCCATTTGGACTAGCATTTCAAAACTGCTCACAAACAGAAGGGCTGAAAGACCATATGTAATGGTTAGCTTCAAGCATCACAAAGGACCTCGAGGATACCTAATTCTGAACTCTTAATTCTCTGTGGCTTAACTGCCCATCTGTGACGTATTTTACCTACACTTGCCTTTGTAAACTGCTGAACTTGATGATGCAGTAAACAGATGAGTGAGACAGATAGTATCTGGTGACCAGAGCCCTATTCAAGTGTTCTTCCTCTAGGGATGGGCAGTTTCTCTCAGTTTCCCATTTTTCTAAAATTTGAGGGAGTTTTTAAGTCATTATGAAAATTCAGCACCATTTTAGTGCAATTTTCATTTTTGTACGCAATTTTATCCATATCTCTGCAAAACAATTTACCATAATGTAAAGCATGTTCATATCTTATTTTCCCTGATATACGTATTTCTAGGCATTCATTAACCCAAGTAAGTGCATCTTTGTACAAACTGCTTGGCTTAATTTTGCACTGTATTGCAAAATCCGGAGAAGTGGAAATTTCATTTTGCCTGCATCAGAATAAAATAAGTAGGTCTGCCTTTAGGTCCATACTGAATTGAATTTACCCCCTTCCCTATAGTTTCATGCACTCAGTTATCATCCTGTGAGGTATCATCCACATCAATGTCACCACTCCAGAGCCCTCCACACATTGAGGGCTGAATTTCTGAAGCTCCCCATTCATTTTAGGACCCTGGAAGATCAGACTTCTAAACCTTATGGAGCGCCTAACTTTGTAGAAAAGGCTATCTGCTGTTGAAGTTTAGACCTCAAAACATAAATGGCTGCAGGATTGATAACCATGACTTGGTTAGCATGACACAGTAAGCCAAACCCCAAGACTGCAGAAATATCTGGGATCCCAGTCACTTTGCTCCACCCTGGCCCTTTTTAGTAGCGTCCTGAGCGAAGCCATATTTGGCTTAATGTATCGTCTGAATCTAGGTGTGTGGTTAAGCTAGTCAGTGAAGCATTAAGCCAAACCTTGGTTTAGCTCAGCATGTGCAAAATCAAAAAGGATCAGGAGCAAAGTGACTGCAAGCTTTATCCCCAGAGCTTGCACATTCATGTGGGCCTGGCTAAGCCATAGTTTGGTTTACCATGTTGTGCAAACCAGACCAGTGACTTGTTGAAGGGCGTGTAGCCGGGGCCCATCCTTCCCACTGTCCCCCTTGCACATGATGGGGGAATCCTGAAGAGGACTCAGGAGGACACTGAACAAACTAGATGGGCTAACACCACTGCCATGTTTTCATGATCTGGAAAAGCCCATAATAGACTAAGTCAGGAGCTGCTTAGTGACCACCATGTGGTTCATTTCTCCCCATTGGAACCAGACTGGAATATATAATGATGACATGGCATCTCAGTGCTAAGCTATCAATGACAAGTGTATACCAATCTCATTTCCAGCAGAAGACAGCTTTCTTGAAAGCAGGACTGACCTTTTCCTTATAGGATGGCAACAACTTCCCATCAGCCATTTTTTCAAAGTCTCTCTTCAAGCAGTTGCACTTTGTGTCAGATTTTTTGCTGTTTCCAAAGTAGGAGATCAAGAGCCCCTTCCCATCAAACAATACAAGGAAACCTAACATTGCCCCTTTCCTTATGGAATGGATTTCCTCCCCCAAGAGAAAATAAGTAGAGGTATTCCACTACAATGGTCCCCCATTTAGGAAGAGTCTTCTTCCCAATTTCATTAATGGAAACAACTTTTTAAAGGAGATGGTTCAGCACTCAAATTGGTACCCATCTCTTTGGGGGCAGCAAAAGAAATACCCACCCGACATATGGCATAACATGCCATTTCAGATCGCAGTGCACACTGAACGTGTGGCACATGTTGTGAGAAACGTCTTCTTCTCTTTTAAAAGATTAACAAATCCCCTTTCCTCTCTTCTTTGTCGCCTTTCTTTTAAAGTATAATGTGAATTGGTTAGGCCCATCACATTTCTATTTATAAGTGACTGGCAGCTCTAGAATAAAATCTGAGCACTCGAGCAAGGAATGCTTCCCTTTACAGCTTTCACCTACCTTTCAAAGGCTGAACGCTCAACAGGAAGGAAGGGAACAGCCTTCCTTTCGTTCCTACTAAATTACCATGGAATACACTTCAACGGCATATATTCACCAGCCTCTTCAGATGGCATTTATAGAGGAGATAAGGAAATGGGCCGATCCAAGGACAAATGTGTAACACACAGTCTTCAGTGGCATTTGCAAGGGCCGGGAACAATATGCACCACTCACACACATAATTAACAAAACTCTCTTCACCGACAGTAGACCACATGAAGCCCCTCACACCGGTAAATACCACAGAGCAGGGCATCTTGTCGCTTGGCGGACATAGATCTGGGTTTTATGAAATCTGAGAGTAGGTCCAGTTTTGGAACACAAAAATAGTTACAAAATGTTATAGACACTGTGCGCCTAAATGTACACACGGGTGGCTGATTAGAACCTGGACCCATATTAACATTTTCAAAGCTGGTTTGTGGTATAGACATTAGCCATATACATACATTCCCTGTGAGGGATAACTCACAGAGGGCAGAGTAGCGGTTTGTCCAGACCCTGCAAAATGGCCCCAGGGTATCAGCGGTTGTTTGAATGCTGACACTGCAAGGAGGGCTCATGATCACACGGAGTGCCTACAGTGAAGTACTTCCTGATATTTAGGAGCCCCCTTTGCAGACTTTCCATGGACAATATAGTGGCACATGATATTGAGGGTGGCGCCAGGAGGCACAGCTCCATGCCATACGCCCCACATTATTATTATCATTTGAATTTATTAGTTGCTTTTTTGCCACCGCAACTCAAAGCAACTTACAATACTTTAAGCAAACACGTGCATACATTAAAACTAGCAATACCTCAAGGACTGCCTCTTCCCATATGAACCTACCCAGACCCTGAGATCACCTTCTGAGGCCCTCCTTCATGTGTCTCCTCCTCGAGAGGTTTGGAGGGTGGCAACATGAGAATGGGTCTTCTCTGCAATGGCTCCCCGTCTGCGGGAAGTTTGCCTGGCGCCTTCATTATACACCTTTAGGCACCAAGCAAAAATGTTCCTTTTTAACCAGACCTTTGGTTGATTAAATTGACATCCTATGCCCTTTTAAAATGTGGGTGTGGTTTTTTGGGGGGGGGGCTATTGGGTTGTTGTTTTTATTTTGATTATTTTGTGGTTTTATATCTTGATTTTATTCTGTGAACCGCCCTGAGACCCCCAGGTATAGGGCAGTATATAAATTCAATCAATTTGTTGGGTCTCGACCATAATAAAGATTGTTGATGTAAATTCAACCAACCAACCAACCAACCAACCAACCAATCAATCAAAATAGAAGCATCCCAACAACACAAAAAGCCATGGACTAAGGTGAAAATGTTGCTCTGCAGTGCTGGCAGATGACAAAACAACCAGCACATCATTGTAAAGTGCATGGCGCACTGTGTCTCTATGAGCTGCTCCATTCTGTCCTGTCTCTGTGCAATTGGGTCCGCTAAATGCTCAGAACATTGTGAAGCTTGCTTTGGAAACTGGCATGACTTTAAATGCCATCTCCAATACAGTATCTTATATTAATTGCAACCATGTTCGTAGCAATTCATGAGAGGGGAGTTGGGACTGCCACAAATGAAGTCCGAAGTGCAAAATAGTTCCTTAGCAGTGATCGGTCCAGTATGTATGCAGCCCTCCTTGCAAGAGTCTCCTGAGCTATGGAGAGGCACATCTGATTCTATTCCATAGTCAGTCCTCCCTGCTCCTCTGTCCGAATTTCACAAGCTCCTTTTGGCAGGGTTTGCCAGCCAAGCCTTACCCCCTTTGTTCTTTAGGCAGAGTTTCTAAGCTGAAGGGAAATGTCTCATATTTATTTTGATCTGTACAGTAGGAAGGAATATTGATGGCTACCCGTTTTCACAGTAGTACGTTGCTTGCTTGTCGGGCCATTTCTCTTTGGGCAAATCTTGTGAGCGGAACCTGGAAATGCAATGCTGAGCCTCAAATATCAAGGTGACCTTTGAGTCTTCCTTGGACTTTTAAGTACATCTAGTGTAAAATGTGCCAACAAAGACTTTTGCCTTGCTGTTGTCTTGTGCAGCCTTTTCCAGTTACCCAAGATAAGGCGCTGTTAATATTTAGTCTGGTCCTTTCCCAGCAAAGATGTACTGAGCTTTGAAGATCGTGGTAATCACTGACGAGAAACTGCTCATACAAATAGCACTAACTAGGGTGCAATTAGAAACCTGAGCCTGGGAGATCAGAACTGCAGGATCTCTATGCATGTGGGGGCAGCCGGGAGGGGGGAAAGGAAATTGTGATATCAGTTTTATTGTTTATGAATTTTAATAATTTGCATGCAATTGACAGCATGAATTTTATAGTTTGATCAGCTGGTTTCTTGAGCACATTTCATATGTTTTTGTGAATCAGCTTGGTAAAGTGGAGATGGTGGGGTTGGAGTTGAAAGGCAGCCTATAGATTTTAATAATAACACAATAAATAAAATGGTTAACTTAAAGGTATACAAAGGGATATGTTCCATTCTTTTTGATGCTCAGTGACAATAGGTTCAACATTTTTTGAATGTTTGAAACTATTACTTAAGTAGAGAAACACAGCTTATTTTGGCCTTACAACATTTATCCATGTTTGAGGCAAATGTTAAATCAGTTGCTGAATATCAGGTTTGTTAGGCATTTATTACTTCTGGTATGTTCTTAAAAAGCATCTGAGCTTACTGAGTGTTAAAACATTTGATTATAAATTGTCAAGGAAATCAAGATATATAATCAGTGCATTGTAAGAAGGGAAACTTGAGTTCCTATCAGCAGATAGCCTATAACACAGATATATATACACCTTTGTAACAAGATAGCATTCTATTGCTCATTCCACCATCCTGAAATTTGTCAGTGGAAAGGATAATTTTCTCAGATAGTTTTATGCAAGAGAGGAAGCCAGAGAACAAATATCACCTTTGTGCAACAATGAATTACAGTTCTCAGTTGTATTCTTCAATACTTTTTTTGAAAGGGAAGTGTCAATTACTTACAGTGCTTTGCAAGAGAAGCGGTGTTTCAGAGCAACCTATCCCTTCATCCTTAAAACTAGATTCCATGTTGATTATGTCATCGATAACGTCCTCCATCTAATAAAAGAAGTTGTCAATGAATGCAAGAGGATGGTGAACAGAGGAACTTATTCTACAAATATTCACTTTTTTAAAAAAAAAAGAACAAACACTAATCCTTTGATAAAAGAATTCTCTTTGTGATCAGAATCACTTTCAGAAGAGGCATACAAATGAAATGATGATGATAGCCAATACCGTTTGGCTGAATAGCATCATAACAGCATCTCATTTATAAATTGACTTATGATTAAGCTAGGATCACCTGTTTGTGACTAATTCAGTGGGGGAACGACAGCAAATAAGGAACAAAATAGTGCTGAAGATGAGCATGCAGGGGAAAGGATAACTGTGAATAAAAGTATCCTCACATTCAAAGCATTTTGGAAATATTTATGTCCTTCCAAAATTAATACTTTGGGACCAATCCCCCCCCCCAAAAAAATGAGAGCCCTACAACTGAAGCAAACTCATACTGGGGGAAGGTAAATTTTCAATGGCAATGCAAGTCACATAAATGAGGAAGGCAACATATACATAGGACTTTAAATTCACAGTCTGAAAAGATTCCAAGATTGAGAAAGGGGTGGTTTCTAGTAGCAGCCCAGAATGTAGCTATGCATGCAGAATATGAGCTCTATTTGCTATTTATATGCATATATCATGTAAAAACTCTGCAGTCCTTATTTACTGGAACAAGGGGCTGCTATAAAATCCTATAGTTTGTAATTAACAATGGTAGGTTTGAATCCAAACTTAGGTCTTAGTTTGTCATAAAAGTGGGTCTGTAGCCTTATTGGAGGCTATTCAAACTGCCTGCACAGTCAGTTTTGGTTTTGGGAAACCCATTCCGTCAGGTCTGCTCTAAGCATGACTAAATCTGGCTCCAACCTGTGCAAATTTGGGAGGTTTTCTTTAGTCCCGAGACTTGATGTTGAATTAATCACCCCTTAACACATCAGAGAGCAAACATCTCTTTAAGCAATGCTTACGTGATTATAAAAGGACCGTTGACAATGGTGCAAATCCACAGTGATGACATGGAATTTCATGCATAAGCCTCCAGATCTCACTCAACAAATGTAGTTTAACTCAGGCATATTTAGGTGTAGCAATGCTGAACAAATGGGAGACCTTTCCCCCATCTTGTAAGCTCCATCTAATTTGGCAAACCAACATTCAAGAGGCCTTAGACTATTTCACAGCTCTATGACATACCGCATTTTCTTGTTCTCCTCCAAGACTTAATAACTTGGTCACTGGACTCCCAGGAGTGCTGATGTTGGTCGGAGGCATATGCCCACTCCTTAATATGGGCATAGCTGCTGAAGAATGGATTGAATGGGAATGAGATGACAGGCTTTGGCTAGACAGCTTCGCATCCAGCGTTAGGTACTGCTTCACTTGATGCCTCTGAGTTTGCTGAACGTGATACCTAGATGGATTGTCCAAGTGGGTCTGGACCTATGGAAGAAAAGAAAACGATGAAGTACAATTTCTCTTAGATTAGGCTCAAGGACCTTTAATAATACAGTTGTGAGCAACTAAATTGCAGGTCATGGAAACTGGCTGACACTGTGACCTACAAGCTATACAAGATCTATGTCCGCTAAGTTATACAGAAGCATGGTAGTTTAACTGGACAATGCTACTTCCATAAGCAAACAGAGAACCCCAGCCTTCAAGAAATCCATTAATCTTCTCTGCTCCCCAAATTAATTATACAGTTAATTCTCCAGCCACAGAAACAATCATCTCAGGAAAGAATGCAATTTCAAGAACACAGAGTAACCTCAGCATACCTTTGAACATTGTTTTTACACCAAGTTTGAGTTGAAACCCATGCCTAATGTGTACAAAGATCACTGCATAATCTGCCAATAAAGACTTCCATTAGATACAAACTACATCATTGCTCTTCATTAGTAAAATGAGAAACAGCACCCAAACTAGCACTTATTTTCAATAGCTCACCTGATAGTAAGAGCAATCTGTCAGATGAGGCATTTTTAAGTTCGGCACTATCAAATAATCCAAAAACAGTGCAGTAGATTATCCCTGACCAACCTCAAGCAATGTAGTATTCTCGATGCTCCTCTTAAGGACTGATAAAGCTTTCAAGCAGCCAGAGAGACCTTATAAATTAAGTGGCCATGCCCAAATCAGCTAATTGTGTCAGAGCAGGCCATCCTTTGATTGTGCTGATTGACAGCCACTACTTCAAACAACTCCCATCTCAGATCCTTGCCACATTCCTACAATTTACCCACTACAGGGATACTGAGTACACAAATATGTACTGTCACATTCACCCTCTGGCTTTCTTGCAATATTATAGTATGACTAATGACAAATTCCTTCTAATAGGTTTTCTTCAAATGACCCTTAAGACTTAAAAAATGGTGTTACAGCTCTCGTTTTGTTTTCTTTCCACTTAAACTATCGCAGTTCAAAACATGTGTGCTTATATTCCACACATTTTGTAAAAGGCAAAAGATTTATACGATCTGAAAATAATCGTATAAGAGTATACATTTTTCTACACATCATAATGTTTTGGAATTAATTGTAGCGTACAATTCTACTTCCATTCTAAATTAGCCAAAAGTTATTTCAACCAAATTATTTTTCAAGGAAATTTGATTCAAAGGATCAGTCTCAGGCACCCATTGCTGTCACCACAATACATTATTTATGTACCTTGTCCATCTTGCTATTCTTACTTTCAGTCATTACCAAACATTATAATTTATAAACAAGGTTAATCTCGTCTGAAATGCCTTTGGTGAGTCTTCCCAAATCCATTATCCCCTAATCTTTATTCCATGAATCCTCCACAGCAAAAATAAAAGTATTTCCACTTATGGCATAGAAAACAAGTTTGCAAGCCTTATCTAAGATTACACTGGTTCTCAATCCAACCAAAATCGACACTGGTCTCAACCCAACCAGTCCTATACATGTATACCCATAAGTAAGCCCCACTGAATTCGGAGAGATTTACTTCCAGGAAAGTGTATATAGGACTGCAGCTTTGACTTCCCATTTCTTTTAGTAGGAGAGCTAAGTTGGCATTTGAACTAAATTAAGTACTTAACTGTAATAAATGTAGGGGTTGCTCGTGCGCAAGTTGGTGCCACTCCTGGCTAGGTTGCCTTGTTAAACCTTTTCTGTCTGGACAGCCCTGCACTTCGTGGCTGTTCAGTCGCTAGCAGAATCCGTCAGTGGGCGTTTCTTAAACCTTTTCCAGCATAAAAGTTGTTTGACTCCAAGTTGCCTCCTACTCTCCCTGCGCGGAAGTCTTCTGCGCAGGGAGGGCGTGGGTAGCGGAGGACCTGTGCCCTCCTCGCTGATCTCTGGCGAGGAGTCCTGGAGCCCCCTCGCCGATTCCCCCATCTGCCCCCCTTTATCCCTGGTGTTACGCTGATTTCTTTCCCCAGCTGGTGAGCCGCCTCTCCCCCTGCTGGGCCCTTCTCCAGCATCGCTTGAGAGCCTAGCCTCTGCCTCAGGCTCCAATGTCAGTTCCCTGACATCCACCTCCCCCCCCCAGGACCCCCTTCACCCCCGGCCCGACCTTTTGATCCAACTTCGTCCCTTTCCTCGGCCGACGATGCGGGGAATCCCCGGAAGGAGCGGTCGCCATCCTCTAAGGATTCAAAACCCGCTCCGATCTCTCCCCGCGGGGTGGGCCTCCCAGTCTGATTCTTCTTCCTCCGAAGCCTCTCCTCCCTCCTCTTCTGAGGCAGAAAAACCCACAAAATCCTCTTCATCGTCTGTGGTTCCAAATTGCTCCTCCCAGAATCTCGCTAGTGGCTTGGGTTTGTCCGGGAACAGGCTGTGGAATTCCTCCACAAGATACCCGTCATTGATTGCCTCCGCGGGAACCCACGTGTTTTCCGACCCGGGTTCTCCCTCCCAAGCTACCAGGTACTCCACCTGGCGCCCTCGCCACCTTGAATCAAGTATTTCCGTGGCCCGGTTGTGGTGTTCCCTCTCCTCTATCTGCGGGTGTGTGGTGACTTCGCCTTCCTGCCCCGGGACTCCCCGCCCCTCCCTGTACGGTGAGAGTAGGGACCTATGGAACACCGGGTGTATCTTCATGCTGTCCGGCAACTTGAGCTTGAATGCCACGGGGTTCACCTGCTGTGTTACCTCAAACGGCCCCAGCCGCCTTGGCTGCAACTTCTTGCACCCCCCCTTAAAGGGTAACCCTTGGGTTGACAACCACACCCGGTCCCCCACCCGTATGGTCTCCCCTTCCCTACGGTGCTTGTCTGCCTGCCTCTTGTAAATTTCCTTGGCCCGTTCTAAGTTCATCTTAAGTTGCTGGTGCAGGGCCTCCATTTCTTCCACAAACTGCTCTGCCGCAGGTACGCTCCACCCTTCCTCCCCACTCCCCGGGAAGGCCCTGGGGTGACACCCATAATTGGCCATGAACGGGCTCATTCCCGTGGACACATGTTCAGCATTATTGTACGCAAATTCAGCCAGCGCTAGTTTCTCTACCCAATCGTTCTGCCTCTCGCTGACGTAGCAGCGTAGGTATTGCTGGAGTACACTGTTCGCTCTTTCTGCTTGCCCGTTGGTTTCCGGATGTCTCGCCGTCGAGAAGCTCACCTCTACCTGCAGCAAGCTCATGAGCTTCCTCCAGAACCGGGAAGTAAATTGTTTCCCGCGATCCGAAATTACTCTCGAGGGAGCCCCATGCAACCTGAAGATGTGATCCACAAACAACTTGGCTATCTCCTCTGCGGTCACCGCATGTGAACAAGCTATGAAATGGCACATCTTTGTCAGTAGATCAACTACTACCATGACTGCTGTCTTCCCCCGGGACTTGGGCAAATCGGTCATAAAATCAATGGACACCACCTCCCAGGGTCTTCCCGGTGTGGGTAAGGGTTCCAGTAACCCTGCGGGGGCAGCCCTTTCCCCCTTTGCCCTTTGGCAGCAGTCGCACCCCCGTACATATTCCCGTACATCCTCCCTCACCCTTGGCCACCAGAACTGCCTGGTGATGAGCATCATGGTTTTGTGCTGTCCAAAGTGCCCAGCTGTGGGGTTGTCGTGGAGTTGTTTGAGTACCTTTCCCCTCAGAGTCTCCCCCGGTACATACAGTGCCCCCTTATAGTACAGCACCCCTTCCTTTTCCTCAAAACCCCCTTGGTTTTCTCTTCCATCTCGGAGTTCCCGGATTTTAGTTTGAGCGAACACGTCGTTTCTAGTAAGCCCGGCCAGTTCTTGTTTCCCAACCAAGGCTCCCCCACACACCCATCGGTCCTCGGGGATCACGTGTTGTATCTCCGGCGGTCCCTCTCCTTCCATGTACTCCGGCTTCTGGGAGAGAGCATCTGCTCTTACGTTTTCCTCTCCTGGCACGTATCGGATTTCGAAGGAAAACTTGGAGAACTCCTGTGCCCATCGAATCTGTCTCTGGTTGAGTACTCTTGCGGTCCTCCAGTACTCCAAGTTCTTGTGATCAGTACAAACCTGGATCTTGTGCTGTGCCCCTATCAGCAGATGTCGCCATCGGCGAAACGCCGCATAGATCACAAGCAGTTCGCGGTCGTACACCGTATAGTTTTGCTCCGACTTGCTCAGCTTCCTCGAGAAAAAGGCACACGGCTTCCATTCCTGCTTGCTCCTCCCTGGCTGCAAAAGAACCGCCCCAATGGCTCTGTCGGACGCGTCGGTCTCTAGCCTCATGGGTTTCTCCAGATCAACGTGCAGGAGCTGCTCTTCCGAAGCGAACGCCTTCTTCAGTCTTTCAAAGGATTGCTGGGCACTTTCTGTCCAGACAAACTTCTTTTTGCTACTGAGACAATCTGTGATGGGCGCTGTCAAGTGGGCGAAGTTCTTGATGAACTTCCTGTAGAAGTTGCTGAACCCTAGGAACCTCTGCACGTCCTTCCGGGTTTTGGGGGCCTTCCATTCCAGCACCGCCTGCACCTTGCTTGGGTCCATAGCTAGGCCTTTGTCTGACAACTTGTACCCCAGAAACTCGACTTCTCTGGTGTGAAACTGACATTTTTCCAGCTTGACCCACAACTGGTGCTTCTGCAGTCTCTTTAGCACTTCCCTGACGTCTCTGACATGTTGCTTCTCATTGTCCGAATAGATTAAGACGTCGTCCAAGAAGGCTACGCAGTTCTTGTACAGCAGGGACCCCAACACGTGGTGCATGAAAGCTTGAAAACAGGCGGAGCCCGACTGTAATCCAAATGGCATAACTAAGTACTCAAAGGCCCCCAGGGGGGTGAACATTGTGGTCTTCCATTCGTCCCCCTCCCTCATCCTAATCAAATTGTATGCTCCCCTGAGGTCCAGCTTGGTAAAAAAATTTCCCTGCCTCACCCGTGTTAAAATGTCGTCAATCCTGGGCATTGGGAAGGTCCCGGGTTCTGATACCAAATTTAACGCCCTAAAATCGATGACCAATCTGGGCTGGTTAGTCCCTTTTTTGTCCACAAAGAACACCAGACTGTCCCCCACCGCCTTTGATTCCCTTATGAACCCCCTCTTCAGGTTCTTGTCAATAAACTCCCGCAACTCCTTCATCTCCCGGTCCGACATGGCATACAGTTTACCCACTGGCAGCTGAGCCCCTGGGAGCAAGTTGATTTGGCAGTCAAAGGGTCTATGTGGGGGTAGTCTATCCGCCTCCTTCTCGCTGAAGACCTCCTGCAGGTCAGCATATTGTGGTGGCACCTCCCCTTTCGGCTCCACCGCTAACCCAGCCACCCTGGCCACGGTCATCCTTGGGGTTTCCCCCCCTAGACAGTGTTCCAAGCAGTAAGCTGACCCAAAGGTGACCGTCCGCTGATGCCATGCCACTACTGGATCATGTAGTGCCAGCCAGCTCATCCCTAATATTATTGGGGGTCCTGCCAGTGTGGCTACGTGAAAGGCAATGGTCTCCGTGTGCCTGGAAACCCTCATTCTCATTGGTGGGGTCTGGTGCGTCACTTCCCCTCCCAGAAGCTCCCTGCCATCAATGGTGGTCACTT